GGTTTTCATCTTCGTTTTCTACTTGTAGTCATTTGGCAAAAATATAATTCTCAAGAACGTACCAAATTTCACTTTGAATCTTTATTTCCGTGAAAATGCAATGTCCGAAAGGTAAATGATATTTTTGATTTGGGTCATGTCATTTGATAACTAGCTTCTCTAAACTCCAATTTAGCTAAAAAGTTCATTAATCTCACCTCAACAAAAGTTGAATCAGTCATAATATTGTAGATACAAATTATCTGTAACCTCGCAATTCTTTCTATAGTTGTATTGTATCTATAGCCCAAACAACATTGTCACTGTTTTTACCCCATTTCAGTAAAAAAAAAAAGAAAAGTAAATGATACTTATTTCAGTAAACATACCAAAAAGAAAATAACCCGATTTCAATGAAGAAGAAAACACACAATATTTTCGTGAAAAAATTGGATTAATAGTCCCGCTCGTATTCCCTCGCCAAGCAAAATGCATGTCACCTGATCTACGGCTCAGATTCTCACTAAGCATATGGCACGGATAGCAAAACAGATCCAACGGTCGATAATGTCCCAAATATAATGACGCGGATCGACAATAACAACCGTCGATAAACTAAGATCCAACGACTCACAATCTCCCAATTTTATTGAACACAAAAAACACAAAAGCACACTCGTCTCCTTATAGTATAATAAACCTAAATTCCCTTTCTAGATTCTGGTAAATCTCAAAGAATCTCTTTCTTTCTATCTATCCAAGTTTTTGAGTTTTCGATTTTCTTTCAAATCGATAACCAACCAAATGGGTGATGTAAATCGTGTTGCCCTGTTGTGGGATCTCAACACTTGTCCACCGTTGAATTCTGAGTTGCCAAATCTAGTGACCAATGTTAACGCTACTCTAGCAGCAGTGGGTTGTTGTCTCTCAAATGTAAGGGTAATTGTTGGTGACAATATAAATCAGAAATTTTCTATAGCAGAAAAAACGCTCCTTGAAGGTCAAGGTTTCACGTTCGTTCATACATCCGAGAGATTACCTGCCTGCGAATACCATAACGGTAACAAGCCCGTTTTACCTGCGCCGCAACTCGTTTTAGAAACGGAATTGTTGAAACTTTCTGCCAACCATCAAGATCCTTTGCGGCCTCGGTCCATATTACTAATTACAGGTGATTATGGTTTTTTCCGTTCAATGAATAATTTCCGTACTCGAGGCTATGCAATATATTTAGCTGAAGCGGAAGACACAGATCCTGCGTTGAGAACTACAGCAACACGAGCATGGACTTGGATTCGTATTCAACGTGGACAGGCATGACTGTGGAGAAGGTAGAATGATATATTGATCCACCACCGTATGTTGTTTTTCTTTTCCCGACCACCACGG